CTTATTTCATAACTCATAATTAACATTAATTGTCTTGAATCCATTTTGTTCCTAGAGGGACAACATTCGTTCACTGATGAGAGGAAAAACTGATCTATCCTGGAGACCAAGCCAACTACCATTTAATTTGGCATCATATTTGAAACTAGTTTTTTCTTTCTCCTAATGCCAGATTTTGCCACTGAAAATACTATCTAGTAAGCTCTCAGAGTAGCATTTATTACTTTGGTGAATTGATCGGATGCAGGATTTGGCCTTAAGCCTTGGTTGCTCAGAAGCTATATTTTGTTAATATATGTGACCTGCCTTAGTACCTCCCTTAGGTATAGGAGGGGGCACACATTAACTGAGCCTAAGAGAGTTTTATATGAAGTCAGGATTCCACATCATCCTATATAATAAAAAGGTAATATGCAAAATTACCCTAATGGTGGAACAACCAGGAATGACCAGTCGCTATGATGTGCACTGACACCAGGTGGCAGACACTCAATGGAGGGGCTGCCCTCTGGTGGTCAGTGTGCTTGCACAGGGGGAGCGCTACTCAGCCACAAGTTGGCTCATGGATGCTCAGTGCAGTGGCAGTGGCGGGAGCCTCTCCCACCTCTATGGCAGCAGTAAGGATGTCGACTAATTGCTGCAGAGAGGGGGCCTAAACCATTAGTCGGACATCCCCTGAGGGCTTCTGGGCTGCCAGAGGGGTGTCTGACTGCCAGCTTAGGCCCACTCTCCTAGTAAGCTGTCATTTGGACATCCCCCAAGGGGTCCCAGACTGTGAGAGGGTTCAGGCCGAGCTGAGGGACACCCCCACCAGGGCATGAATTTTCATGTACCAGGCCTCTAGTTAACTTATAAACTTATAATGAGAAATTGTTGCACATGATCTTACTTTCCTGCTAGACAGACAATCGTGTAAAAACAAGCATAAGAAGTTTAGTTTTATAAGCATAGAATCAGAATGAAGGGATGTGGTGATTCAAATGTTTAATAGTATTTATTAGGATAACTTTATATATATGTAGTTCACAGAATGGAGGTTCTGCCAAGGAAACCCATTCTAAAGACCTCATGCCTTATAAGTGGATACTGGTAACTTTTATTTCTGCTGTTTCCCTATTTTCTGTTTTCTTGATTGACCAATCTCCCTTCAAACATTACCCTTATGATATGTTAATAATTTCAATCATCTGTTAATGGAGTCCTGGTGGATATTATTTGGTGTTGATTTTACAGGGTAAGTCTCAGATTTCAACCCTTCACTATGTTATAAAATGGCCTGTACAACCTGATTTAACTCATACTTACACTTGCTACTTTCCATTGCTCATATAACATTTTATGCTGTAATACTTTGTTTCTTAAGAACAGTCATAAGATCTATTTAGATATCTCAAAGGAATTTCAAACTCAAATACAAAAACAAACAAACAAAAAAACCTGTTATTTTCTGACCCACCTGCCCAAGATATCCAGTGTCCCTTTCATCAGTGAATGAACAACCATCCAGTCAGTTGCACACACTATGAAACTGGTAATCTTCTTTGAGAATTCCTCTTCTTTCATTTTTACCCCCCATTTGTTCATCTAACAAACATATTTTGAATGGCTAAGTGTTTCAATGACTGACAAAACATCAATAAAATGCAAGGAAACCCTCTGTAATCATTAAATTTAGATTGTGGGAGGAGTACATATAGACAATAGAGAATTAAAACAAATAAAACCTGTAATATGTCAGGAGTTGGGAAGTGCCAGACCCCAAAATAAAACTGTCTGAAAGGATTGTATTATATGTGAGAAGAGAGGTGCTTTTACAGACTGTGAGGTCAGGGAAGGCATCTCTGATAAATTGGCATTTAAACCTTTGTGAAATTGTATGAAATGATGTTGATTTTAATTCTTAAATTTTGATCATATCTGTCTACTTCTTTCTGTCTTCACAGTCAACACAATGTCTGGCCTCCATGAAAGGTCACCTATCAGGTCTCCTCTGATAACTATATTTGACAGAAGAGCACACTTCCTGCACTCTGAAACCCACCACCCATTTATGCTAGGCCAGACTTCCCTTGGACCACTCCCCATCAGCGACTCAGCAACACAGTGTAATCAAGGTAGCCCATTCCTGGGAGACACAGGACTCACCTGTAAGAAAACTTTAGCTCAAGAGCTTTCCATCAGTGTATTAAACTCTGGGCTAAGATTTTGTTTCTCAAATGTATTTCCTTCACAAAGGAAAGAGGGAAGGAATGCTAATATGCACTTATTGAGCTCTCCCATATTCTTTCTGGCCCTGCCACCCTCTCTTCATACTGCGAGTACTGCACACAATGAAAAATCTCACCATGTCATCACTACTGGTTAGAACCCTGTAGTTTCATTCTATTGCTCTTCAGAGACTCAAATCCATAACAGGGCATTCAAAACACAGCATGGCTCCACCTCAGACCTCTCTCCCTCTCACCTTGCCAGCTCCTATTTATCTGCCCTTCTTTTGTCCTTTAAAGGTGCCCTGCTTTCAGCTGACACAGCCTCTACAGTCTGTTCCCGTTGCCAGGAGTGCTCCAACACCCCATTTCTCCCATCTGTTTTTTTTTTCTTGAGCAAGTAACTCTTATTTATCCAATGGTTTTTCTGTTCATACGCTGATCACCATTTCTCCTTCATCTAAATCATATTCCTCTATTTTATCCTTTCACATTCCCTAAAGAACACTTACAGTAATGTGTGATTGCCTTCAAAGACTTTGTCTAAGTTTGCAATTATGCATTTATTAGTATGATTATTCCTTCACTGGGCTATACATTTACTTCTTTATCATTCTTGAGTCCCAGCATCTAGCTCAGTGTTTGACCTAAAGTAGACATATAATTAATATTATTAAATGAAAGAATGAATAAACAATCATTTTTTTAAATATAATTAAACAGCATATCTTCTTAGAGATTTTTTTTTCTCAACTCTAAGCAATTGTAGACATTCTATGCTAAAACAATTATCTACATCATAGGAATATAAAAATACAACATTGATATAATGGTTTTTTGTTTGTTTACTTGTTTTATTCTTACTGACTCTAATTTAACATGTCAAATTAATACTGTGCAGGATGGATTTACATGCCTTCTGTTTTCCAAGACTAGACAGGAGAAACCCTCTCCATTGAGACACAGCGTTCACCTCACAATGCAATCAGGTAAGAGATTTGGAATCACTTCTCATAAAGCCTGTGGAAACATAACTGATCCCTCTAAACTTTCACCTTCATTCAATCAGCTTTTACATTCTTAACCACAGCCTCCATTCTAACTTTATTAACAGTTTTGGTTTTCTAACACTTGGTAGAGTAAGCATTCCCCCAGACAGACAGAATATCCATTCCCATAAAACATTCAGGTCAAAAAAGACACTCATTTGCATAAACCGACATAAACATTCCAACATCCATAATCCCATCAATCCTTTCATTAGGAGAATGGCCTTTATGCTCTCTCAGTCTAATTGTAGCCCACACCAGGGCTTGCCCATGGGTTTTGGTACCATAGTTCATGGGGCTTCCATGTCAAGGAGCCCAGAAACTTATCTCCTCTACCTCCTGACCATTTTACCCTTTCTGGTGCAAAGGCTTAGCAGTGATGGCGAACCTTTTGAGCTCAGCGTGTCAGCATTTTGAAAAACCCTAACTTAACTCTGGTGCCGTGTCACATATAGAAATTTTTTGATATTTTCAACCCTAGTAAACCAAAGACTTATATTTTTGATATTTATTTAATATATTTAAATGCCATTTAACAAAGAAAAATCAACCAAAAAAATGATTGGTTGTCATAGGTTCACCATCACTGGCTTAGGGTCTCCAGTGAGGGGTCGAGTCAAGGGACTCTGGGATTTTTTTTTGTCAGCCTTCATTTTGATTCATCCCCCTAACCATTGCTAGAAACAATCACAGGTTAGATTTTCCAATATAATCTTTGAATATTGGCTTTCAAAATATCTCCAAACCAGTATAAATAAAGCAGACTTGTTTGGGGCTCTTTAATCCTGGGGGTTCAGTAAGAGGTCTTTTTGGTCTGCACCACCTTGGGTAGTACTGTATTCAAACCTTTCATTGAACCCCATTAATGACAGTTTATTCATATCTAGCCATCGAGGGCCACTGTGCTTGTGGTCCGCTCATGGGCTCCTTCTCTGGGGGCTTTAGTTTGCTGAATTCTGGGCAGCTTCATCAGCTGGGATTAGCATAGACAACACTGAGGGAGTCCTTAGTGGCAAAAGTTTTGGGTGTCCCTGATAGCCATGAAGCCTACTTGAGCCCTTGGTGGTGAAAGTTGCTGGGGTCTTCAGTTCTCCTTTTCTTCCAAAAAGGTAGATCACAGCTGAGGGGATCCCTTTTGAAGGCAAGCTATGTGGGACTAGGGGATGGGCTGATAGGTAAAATGTTGCCTATGATTTTCTATGTGGCCATCTTTGATATCTGTGTTCTACTGGGTTGCAGTAGCTCCTGGCCTGTATTCCAAAGCTCTCTCAGAGCCATTTTCATCAGTAAGTAGTTGTAATTATTGTTTTTCTGGAGGTACAAGTGCTGGGACCTGCTAGTCCATCAATCTTGCTGATATCACACTCCTAAATGGTCATTGTTTCTTTCCTTTTCCTGTGAGAAATAATGATGGTCCTTGGGGAACAGGAATTTTTACAATGTATTGGCTTTCGCGGGGGTGCTTTAATGGTGCTAAGCTCAACTGGGACAGTCTAGGACCCAAGGAAAACTGGCTGATTTTGCTTCCTCAAAAGGCACCAATGACTGTCCTTCATACTGACACTTGGCTCAGGAGACTGAGAGGAGAGAAATTTCAGGCAGTGATGAAAGGTAGAAGGGTTTCTTCTTATAGATAAAGATAACTGGTCTGTTTAGAGTAGAGTCAACCCATTGAAGTATTTGGAAATATTTCTCAGTTTGACAAGATTTGGATCACAAACCTTTCTCAAGAGCTGTGGATGTATCAGCTCTTGAGATATATCCACTGAAGATCAGTCCCAGCTATGCCCCCTCCATCAGGGCATTGAGGGAAGAGCTACTGATGTAGACTGCTGGGTGATCCTCCCCAGGTAAGACATATGGCTGTATAAATGGATCTATGTGATAGGGATTGAAGGCCCAAGGATGATCATAGACACCCAGACATATCTGTTGGAGATCATGAGGCTGAGAATCCCAGGATGTATTCCATCCAGAGGCACCAGTCCCTCCAGATTGCCTGTCACCAAAAGTCTTAGGTGGTCATGGCCACAAGCATTCACAATGCTGGGACTCATGGGACAAGTGTTTGTAGAAGTTATGGTAAAGGAGCCTCCTCCTCCTTCACTGGAATGGTTTGGTTTGGTGCTTCTAGTGCCAGACTTGGCTGACATTGTAGTAGCCATTTCCTCCGTTTGATGCACTGGATCTTGAACCAAGACTTTATTACTGACTCATCAAGTTGAGTGGCTGAGTAAGCACTGCCATGGTATCCCAATGTGGGTACATGGTCTTTCCACATGCATCTGTTAGTATTCTAAGCTGTTCTGGACTAAAGGTTGTGCAGTACCAGTGAGCAGACTTTGCTTATCTGCCATAATACCTTTTAGAAGCAGAATGATCCACTGTGTCTGTTTCTAAGTTCCTAAATTTTGTCTCTAAGTTCTAAGACTGTTTATCAAATGAGAAACATAAAACAAGTTGTCTATGTGTTCAGTATACAGTAAATACTACTGAAGACTCCATAAGCATTAACTCATTTAATTCTCACATCAACTCAAGGGAGTATTCCTGGTATTTTCTCCTTCTTGATGAAAATCCTGAGGCTGAGACGCACTGTAATCATTTACCAGTGGTTAATATGCAATAGAGCCAGGGTTTAACAGGGTTTAACACAGGTATATTCAACTCTAGAGCACTCCTCGTTACTGTATCATGTACCCTTTTAAGGGAATTTTGTGTTTTCCAATTATGCTCCAAAATATTCAATCACTGTAAAATATGCTTCTGCTTTGAAAAAACAAACAAAACAAAACAAAACAAAAAAACAAACTTTGAAAACCTCTGCATGACTGAGACCCAATGCACAGTATCCTGGGTATAAGTCTAATTTAGTTTTTGACACATTTTATTAGTATTTTCTGTTCACTTGTCTGTCTTTTCTTGGAATATAAATTCCTTGATGGAAGTAGCAGGTCTTAATGAGAGCAAATATTTATTGGGGATTTTGTTGGGCCAAAACCATATTAAGCATTTTAATAAATTCTGTTAATTCTACTGACAACTGTTTTTACTGTGAGCACTTCCAGAATGAAAATCTCACCATGTCATCACTACTGATTAGAACAGTTTTTTATTTGCTCTTTCTCTCTGCTCTTCTTCCTTCCCTCTCTCTTTCTCTCCTCCTACCCTGTGTATGTGTGCTAGACAGAGATAGAGAGAGATTTTTAATTAAACATTTTTTTTCATGTAAACTTATAATTTTCTACCAAGAGAATGAAATTGGGAAATTTCTAGCAAAAGGCATTTTCAAAAATGCTCATATCTCTCTCTATAAAAGCCCAGCAACCGTTACAGCAGAACAACCTGAACAACTGAAACAACCAGAACGACCAGTCGCTATGACACACACTGACCACCAGGGGGCAGGCGCTCAGCACAAGAGCTGCCCCCTGGTGGTCAGTGTACTCCCACAGTGGGAGCGCTGCTCAGCCAGGAGCCAGGCTCGCTAAGAAGCGGCAAGCCAAGCTGTAAGTAGCGAGCAGGCAGGCAATAAGGAGCAGCGAGCCAAGTGGTAAGAAGCAAGGAGGCAGGTGATAAGTAGCAAGCAGGGGGGGCAGTTAGGAGCAAGGGGTCCTGGATTGCGAGAGAGATACCCTGACTTCCGGTTTAGGCCCGATTGGCAGTTGGACATCCCCTGAGGGTTCCCAGATTACAAGAGGGCATAGGCTGGGATGAGGGATTTCCCCTTCCCCCCCATGCATGAATTTCATGCATCGGGCCTCTAGTATAAAGAGAAAGTAGCAGGAGGCACTAACTTGAAAGATGGAATATATTGTTAGGATTTTAAAAAATACAGGTTGATCAGAAAAAATATCTGGGTGATTAAAAATTATTAGGCAGATAATCGGCAAGGGGGGAAAACACTTTTACTGGTAAGATTTCCTCTTTACAAATGAAAAAACTATAAAACCACTGTTATGCATTTGTTTTTACTTTTAAGATCAATGTTAGATTAGAAATTTGTTTCAAATTAAATACTGTTGAACTGTATGGCTTCTCTAGTGATGCTGTTTTCAACACCCTTACCATGTTTCTGGTTTTCATTAAATTTATCCTATCTTATAGCAAATTAAACATTATGTGCACATGAAGACTATAGGAAAGAGGTTTAGCATGATTTTCTTTTCCCCCTCCTAGAAATAAATGTAACCGATGTAGCTGCATTAGGAGGAAAAACAAACAGATGCTTGAATCTTATGCCAACCTATCATGTTCTTTATATCATTATGACTAGTTAAATCAATAGTTTATTGCAGGAAGAATTTCTCATCAATGTCATTTACAAATGACAATTCATGGCACGTAGAGCATGGAGATATTTTCTGCCTCCTTTATTTATTAGTGAGCTCATTTTGAAATGAGCAATTTCAATTTAAGTGATAGATTTTTCCCCCTACATTTCACATCACTTTTTCTTCCTGTTGAATAGTCTCCAATATTTTCCAAGTAAATGGACACTTTTTTTAAAAGCTAGTTGTCTTTGAGTTTTAAAAATCATTGCTTTGTTATGTACCTAAATATGAAATCTAATTATGTATATATCTCTGAAAACTAGCATCTATTGTTCAGTAGCAGACTAAAGGCAGGGAAATGCTTACATTTCTAAAGTATAACAGAGTAATAAAAATTTCCTCTGAGAAAAGTTGTATCAAAAAGGATATAGTAAGTCAGAGTAAGTGGGAAAAATGGCACAGTAGACTGGCATGTCATGTTATATAGTAATGTCACACAGAACCACTTTTATGTGAAGATCTGAGTATAAACCCCTGACAGAGATATTTACAAAAATTATGTCACTAGGCTGAGACAAGCTGAATTGGGCTATTCTATGTGTTTTGGGCATTTTTCTAGAAAGATTCATTTCCAGGAAAATGAATAGTTATAATGAAACAGTAAGTTGTGAGTGTATTTGCCTACATTGGAAAGGCTAATCTGACAAGGTAGTAATGATGGAGTAGGATCTTCACATGTCTTGTAAGTTATTAATTTTATTTGTTCCTTGACAGTGTATGGATGTTTTAAATGTCAGTAATGTGAGTCTCAGAGGGATGTTTATGTACAGTTGGAATCAGCAAGAATGGACAATTCTACAGAGTTTTGTCATTGTTACTTAAAATATTGTCACTTTGAAAACTTTTAAGTAGTAGGCAGCATTCTAACTGACTGATACAAAAAACTGTTGGGGCTTAGCAACAAAGGAAATTTTCATCTTAGGTCAGATGATCCCAGCTACTAAGGTTAAAGGGGCACAATATGAAATATAAAAATAGATGTGTCAAGGTAATACAGTTTTTTAACGTATCAAGTATATATGCAAATGGCTTGAAACTTCATACTTCCTGTTGAACTGTCAAAGCATTCTAGAAAGAAAGCTTCCAAAGACAAAACGTCAAGAAATGATGGTATAATACTAGTGATTGCATTCATCCAGAAAGAACCAAGTATGTTGTCAGTACCCTTTTGGTGCTTCTATAAGGAAGACAAAAATTACTTCCAATATTGTCATGAAAATTGGACAGCATAACCTCTCCTTTCATTCTTTATGATGGCAAATACATAGTTATAGCTCTATAGTGATGTATCACGGATAATAGAAGTTTTTCATTACAAATGGCCTTAAGAATGAGCAGATCCTTATTTGTGAGATGGGGAAAAAATGAAAGTCAGAGAGTCAAATGACTCACTCAAGGTCATCACATAGATTTTTAAAGGTGAAAGCAGAAACCAATTTTATATATTATTTAAAGTTCAGTGCTTCTGTTTGTACTGCAACATGCCAAAGTTAATTTTATAAATAGAAAAACAATTTTGGTCATCTAAGAATGTAAGACAGGTTGAGATTAACACAAAACTACTTATTTAATGTTTTTACAATTTCAAAAAAATGAAATGGATACATTAAGGAACATACTCAAGAAAATATGTAGTCAAGTACTTGCTACAAAGAACCTATCCTGCTGCAATGGTTTGCAGATAGAAACTATCTTTCATTTTTATTTAAGAACTAGAGGCCCGGTGTATGATATTCTTGCACTGCAGGCGGGGGGGGGGGGGGGTCCCTCAGCTCTGCCTGTGCCCTCTTGCAGTTCAGGAGCTCTTGGGGATGTCCGACTGCCAGCTTAGGTGGGGAGTGGACCTAAGCCGGCAATCAGACATCCCCCATGGGGTCCATAGCACTGCTGCGGAGGCAGGAGAGGCTCCCACCACCTCCACTGTGCTCACCAGCCATGAACCCAGCTTCTGGCTGAGCAGTGCTTCCCCTGTGGGAGCGCAATGACCACCAGGGGCCGCTCCTGCATTGAGCATCTGCCTCCTGGTGGTCAGTGCGCATCATAGCTATCAATCATTCTGCAGTTTGGTCGATTTGCATATTAGCCTTTTATTATGTAGGGTGCATCAATAAGTATAGGTGTAGAAATTTGTTTAGGCAAGTGTGCTGGTCAGTATGTGGCAGTTTGAATTTAGTCATTCCTTGGAATCTCTATAGGAAAAGGACTATTTAAATGTCAAGATTAGGTAATGTAAGCTATATTTACTTCTACCTAAGATAATTAGAGTAGACTAAAGAGTACCAGTCTTTAATTCCACAAATATTTATGAAATATATATATATATATATATTTCTCATTTTTATTCTAAGGTATATTGTGGAAATTTCCCTTTGATTTATTTGATTTATGATTAGGTCCATATAATAGTGAGCTAATGTTTTGGTTTTTTTCTTATGTTCTCTTGACCAATGTAGAATATACTTTAAGAAAAGCATGTGAACTAAGATACTGATACTGGACTACAAAAAAACAAAGCACTATTATTTATAGAGGACCAGAACATAGGTAAATTAATAATACAGTTCTCTCAAGAGATTCTTCATTTCTCTTTGAAGGATGGTACTCTCGGGGTCAAGGTCATGGACAAAGCAACATGGGAGAAATTCCTTTGCAGCTGTTTGCTCTGAGCAAGCATGTGGAAAATAAGCAGATGACTTCAATTTGCATTACTCACCCCATTCCTGACATTTTGTCCTAGCACACAAATATATACCATGAACTGCACAAGAGCTATATTCCCACATGCCTGATATTTGAACTACAATATGTCAAAATAGATTTGGAGAAGAAGGTGTTCTGTGATAGATGGTATATATCCTGTTTAAATAAAAATGGGTAGGTCTTCACCTCAGTTTCCCTAAGATAGCTGAACCTCTTTGGCTTCTTTTAAAGAAACACCACTAAAAAC